TAGTTGTTGGTTTTCGCCGCAACAGCCACCTGCACCCCCTCCCACCTCCATTCTTCCTGACTCTTTCATGACACACGGCCCGAGTGGTGGTGGAGGAGGAGTAGGAGGAGGAGGAGGAGGGGGTACATTAGACGCTGAGTAAGTCTACTATCACTATAAACTAACTCACGCCCAAAGTCTCTGCCTCTGCTCCCACCCAGCTGTGGAGTACACGATGGGCACCGTTGGTCACGACGGTTAAGTTGTCGTGTGATGTCCGGAATCAACCGTGTATGCGAAACGGCACTGCCTCCTCCCCTAATTCTGCCATTTCTCAGTCATGCTGGGTAGTGCTCCCATATCTATTTATATAGACGGCAAATCGTATAACGAATATAACCAATTCCGAAAGGCCAAGCAGAGAAATAAATGCGCATAGGGGTGGTCCGACCTGACAATTCGTCCCTATCTTAGCAGCGATCTGTGGGGCTGGTAGAAAATACTATCCGATCTTTTGTTGGTGGGAAGGTGAGTAAAACCATTTAGCCTAGGTATATTCTCAGTTCACTCGTCGCGTCCCCTCGGAAAGGATCGGTATCTTGTGTGTATCAGACGGATAACCTTTAGAGATCTCCAGTTTCTTATGCTAGTCCAATTTTTTATGGCATTTTTTCGTGTCAGTAACTACATGCATGCCATATTCTCAGTTCTGCTGTCCAAGGCGTCGTACTTAAGTCTGACAGCTGATCTCAACTAACTCCCCTGATCTATTGGTCTCTGAACAGGACCTGATCATAGACATGTGCGTGTACGGCCAAAGAGCTGCTGATTTGCTTATTCGCGCGACGACGTTAATCCATGAACTTAATACGTAGAGTTTGGCCCACTTAAATGGACCCCTACGAGCATTTGACTAAAATAGGTTGTATGGCGCAGGTAAGCCTAAAGGTCTTCAGACGTCTGCTACGCCAACAGCAGCAAACCATGACCCTCGCAGCCTGATATGCGCTGGCACTTCTCTGACACCTGGCTCTCTGCAGGCAGATGCGCCTGCGCTCTCCTTGGTATCCTGTTCGTGACCATGGCTGCTCAGTCATCCTCATCGTCTTTCTGACCCGTTGTGGTGCCCTTGTTAGTTACGTTGCTGATCTAATGTTTGTTGTAGAACAGAGGGTGTGATGGTACGCCTGGGTGCGGGTTCGGCCGTGCCGGCCACCTGCACCCTCCCTTACCACCGGTCGTCTTGACTATGTCTTGACACCGAACTCAGGCGGGTGGAGGAGGAGGAGGAGGAGGAGGAGGAGGAGGAGGAAAGGGCAGTAGATGCTGCACAGATCTCCGCTCACTATAAACTAGTTCCCGCGCAATTCACCGTGCCTGCCTCACCATGCGATGAAGCACACGGTGGACATCGTAGGGCTCAATGGTCGAACTGTAGTATAGGGGGTGAGGTCACTCAAATAAACCAAACACACACTGATGCCGCTATGCGGGCACGACTAGACGAGAGGTAGCGGAAATGTAGTGGGATATTTGGTTCGCAGAAAGATTTTCTTTATCAAAACGTCTACTGATCCTCAACAGCATCAAAAAGTGTGAACAGGAAATATCTGACGAGTGGGTAACAGTGGGTTCATTGCGAGACGATTTCTAGCCACAGCGTGGGTTTATTAGTGGCTTTGCTTATCATCAGAAGGCGGACAGCAGAGAGGGGACAGAAAGATTCCTGAACAGTCCCTTCTGTGAAGGTTTTAAAGAGCGTCATGTGGAAGTCGGCAGTGTCTGAATTCGTCTCTAATGAGCCGAGGGTGGTTATTCGCAATATTTCCAAACAGGTGCTCTCAGTATTCATTCTGATTTCGCGCTAGCGGATAGCAGACGTTTTGGATATAGAGTGCACTGGTTTTGATTCGCGCTCGAAATTATCCACCGCCGACCCGGAAATGTTGAGAAGATCAGCCACAAAGATTCCTGAAGGGCGCTGCTATTTGCTAAATTCGCAGACGGATACGGTGGCTTAAAGACGACGAAAGAAGAATGACAAACGATGCCCTGGGTGAACTGAAGGCCTCGGACACTTGAAGGAAACACGGGCTAGAACAAGCCTTTTCGTCTACGAGACTGGCTACAGCGGAGTACCTGAGAAACGACGACCACAATAATTCACAAACTGAGAGGAGTACGTGCAATCAGTGAGAAAGGGTTTGCGTATCCGACTGAAGGCGAGGCCCCGTCACCTTGCAGCTGTACAGTAATTTGGATTTTGGTATAGTTGGTTGGCTATCGTCAAATACCCATCTTGGCAGGCCCACAATGTTCGTAAACCACTGAAATAGCCTGTTCCCACATAGCAAGTCGCGGAGACAAGAATAAAAAATATTTTTGTAGAGCGTAGACGTGGCCTCTATCTATAACTGGCTAGGAATGAAGCATAAGGTCACGAATGTGAGAATAATTACGAGTGAAACGCATGCTAGTCTCGCAATTACTTCCAGTACATGAACGATAAGTTTTAGTGTGATTAGGGTTGGCAGTGACCAGCTAACAGAGACAAAATAACCTTCGTAAGTTATATCAAGCCATATAGACATATGACTAGCTGACGACGTCTAATAAGCCAGAAATGTCTCTTACAGTCTCCCTTGTCTTTATCGGCAATGCTTTTATGCCTATATCACGAGCCGCTCTGTGGATGCTAGCTGGGTTACAGAGAGAGAGTCCCAAGGCATAACGGAACGAGTGCGTTCCGTAGCAGGATCAATGAGCGCCCTTCAACCATTATAGTTAACAATGGGGCGAAGGGATGTCCAGTTGTGGACTCGCGTGATGGTCGCAGTAGATGGCTAATTTGCTTACAGGTGCTGGCTAAGCCTAGCGCTCATTAACTGGCACCCACCTCTCACCTGTGGCTCCTCAAAGCTAGGTTCTGTCTAGCGGCCACACCCCCGTAACCGCATCGGCCAGCGGGCTAAACCAGGTGAGGTTATCAGTGTGTGTATCTCCACACGAGGTATCTTTGCTCCATACCCCCTCCCCCCTTCTTCCCCACCTCTCCTTCCCTTCTCCACCATATTCTTCTCTCCCTTCCCATATCCCCTTCTATTACTCCCTCCTCACCCTATATTCTCCACTCTATTTTTCCCCATAGCCAGAACGCGTAGGAGGGTCATTTCGATGCACCCTCGGTAGAGGCACTGGCACCTGCTGGACCATTTCCTCGTCCGGAGGCGAGACCACCGGGACTTGCTGGTGACAAAGGCGATCACTGGTGCCGACGGGTGGACCGACCATCGTCCCGTTTTCTCCAAGATGGGGATTCGCCTATAGCCTCGCAGTAAACCTCAAGGTTAGCGACCCCCGGGTTAACAAAACACTGATTTATTGTATTTGCCTGCCCACCGTTTCCATCTCGGCAATCAACTGGCCCATTGACTGGAAGACCTGCAGCTGCAGATGAAAACGCCTCAGTGGGGACCAGATGATGCTAACTACAGAACACCGTTCATTCGACTTCCCTGGCTGTCCTCGGCCGCGCACGTGGCCAACACCAGGACTGGTTCGACGACAGCGACGCAGTCATCAACAGTCTGCTCGCTGATAAGAAAAGATTGCACAGAAGATGAAGGCACTATCGCTGGGACAAGAAATTTATTCGTCCGACGTTTCGGATTGCTGCTCGAACCAATCATCAGAGACAGAAGCTGATACGGGTGGTTCATGCACAAGGAGTTGCAGTATTTATAGGATGCAGTCACCATGTTACCACAT